GCCTTGGCCTCGGCCAATTCGAGCATGTTAACCCACTCGATGCCTCGGGCGCGCATCGTGTTGATGCTCGCGGGCGCTTGGCGGCCCTCGACTCGGTTCTCGCGCAAGGCTCGCTCGATCCAGCGACTCGCCCACGGGCCGCAGGACCAGGCGTCGGCCTGGGACATATCGTGGCTCCTCGCAGGGCAGGTCTCGCCAGGGGCGATGGGGCCGAGCTTGCGGGGGATCCTCGTGGCGGCCTTGGGAGGCCACGTGCGAACCCTACCCGCGATCTCTGAGGAAGAGGTCGGGGTTCACTTCGTTCGGCAGCTCCCGAGCAAAGTGAACCCTAGTTACCCCCCCCCCTTCAAAATCGCGGGGTGTAGGTGTGAGTTCGCATGTGGCCCTTTAGGCCTGCTTAGCGTTCTCGGACGGCCGCTTGAGGGCGTCGCGGCACTCCGCCGCGACGCCCCCCGCCGATCCTTGAGACCTTGACGGGCGTTGCTACAAGTGCCCCGTGCCCAGGGTGCATTCAGGATTCGCTCCAAAGCGGAGCGAAAAACTGGGGGCACCTTGGGAAGGGGACAGGTGTAGCAACCGCCGTCCTTGAGGTAGGTGTAGTGCGCGGGCGCCGCGGAATGCGCGCAGATCAGGACGTGCTCGGCTTTGTCGACTCTCTTGGCCCAGCGCTTCTGCTCCTCGGGCTGCTTGGCGGCGGGTTCGTCCTCGCCCTGGCCCTCTCGAGCCCGGGCGACGGCCGCCGTGTGCTCGACCGCCAGAGGGGTCTCGGGGGCGCTAGCGCAGTCTCGATTCTGCCCAGCAGCGTGTGCACTGTGCCCAGCTCGAGGGTGTCGCCCTTGACGATCTGCTCGCAGTTCATGATCGCGTACTCCTTGGCGAGCTCGGTGCGGCGAGCCAGTCTGGTCTGGCGCCAGTCCAGCTTGTGCGGCTTGGGGAACTTGTAGTCCTGCTCGATCGTGACCTGTGGCGCTCGGGAGTCACGGGCACTCGTTAGCTTCCTCCTGCTTCCGCTTCGTGTCGCTTCCGCCTGCTTCCGCCAGCTTTCCGCCAACTTCCGCCGCTTCCGCCGTCGCCACCGCCGTTTCCGCTAGCTTCCGCTTGCTTCCGCCGCCACAGTCGGAAGCAGGCGGAAGCTAATGAGTGCTTGTGAGCCTCCCAGCCTCGCTGCTCTCGATCTGGAAGACCGCCGCGGTCTCCACCTCGAGGAAGCGCAGGCGGTGCGCGTCCTCGGTGCCCAGGACTCGCCAGACGTCCGGCACTCTGCCGTGCCTGCCCTCGTGGACTCCCTCCTCGGTGACGCGCTTTACCTTGCCGTGCCAGGGAGAGTCCTGGCCTCTCGATTTCTGATCGAGGAGCTCCTGGGCGATGAGCGTCGGACGCCGTGGGCGCTTTCCGACTTCCCCGGGCCGATTCGAATCCATTTCCCAGGCTTCCGACTCGATCTGACTCGATGCGAACATTCCGATTAATGATTCCGATTTCGAGTTCGCCCGATCCGACTCGTGCCGATTTCGATTTGGCAGCCGACTTCAGCCGATTTCATCCGATCTGGATTCGCTCCGGCGACGGCGACGCGGTTCCGCCTCCCCTTCGGCGGCTGCGACGACGGCCTCCGGCGGCGACGTCAGCTCGGAGGGGTCCCGCCCGAAGAGGAGGAGGAGGAGGAGGAGGAGGAGGAGGAGGAGGAGGAGGAGGAGGAGGAGGACGAGGAGGAGGAGGAGGAGGAGGAGGAGGGAGGAGGAGGAGGAGGAGGAGGAGGAGGAGGAGGAGGAGGAGGAGGGAGGAGGAGGAGGAGGAGGAGGAGGAGAGGAGGAGGAGGAGGAGAGGAGGAGGAGGAGGAGGGAGGAGGAGGAGGAAGGAAGGAGGAGGAGGAGGAGGAGAGGAGAGGAGGAGGAGGAGGAGGAGGAGGGAGGAGGAAGAGGAGGAGGAGGAGGAGGAGGAGGAGGAGGCGGAGGAGGATGGAGGAGGAGGAGGAGGACGGCGGACGGAGGACGGAGGAGGGGGGGAGGAGGATGAGGTGGAGGAGGAGGAGGAGGAGGAGGGAAGAGGGAGAAGGGAGGAGGGAGGAGGCGACGACGACACACCCCACCCCCGGAGGGTCCCCAAGTGGCTCCCGACGTGCCCGGACGGGCCCCCGAGGGGCCTGCTGACCCCTCCCGGGGGGGGGGGGGTCGCCAGACCCTTCACTGCGGGGTATGGCAGTGCTACCCCTCCCCGTGAGGGGGGGGGGGGGTTGGCGAACCCCCCCCGTGCGACCCCCCCCTGGTGGGGTTGGCGAACCCCTGCCAGGGGGCGTTTGGCGAACCCCTCCCAGTGCGAAGCCCTTCCCGGGGGTGGTTTGGCAAACCATCCCCAGGGGGTTTGGCGATTCTCCCCCCAGTGCGAACCTTTCGCCGGGAGGGGTTTGGCGAACCCCCCCCCGAGCGAAAGCCTCCCCGGGAGGGGTTTGGCGAGCCCCCCCCCGGAAGTTTGGCGAAACCCCTCACGCGAAACCCCTTCCGAAGGTGGGTTTGGCGACCCCCCCCCTGTGCGAAACGCTCCGGGGGAAGGGTTGGCGATCCCTGGGGGGCTCGCGGGGGGGGGTGGCGAACCCCCCCCCCGTGCGACCACCCCCCTGGGGGGGGGTTTGGCAAAACCCATCCCGGGGGGGGGTTTGCAGTGCGGACCCCCAGGCCCGCCAAGCTTCGACGACGTCGGGCGATCTTCGACGACCCACGACGACGATTGCGACGACGACTGCGACTCGCGACGACGTCGGACGACGGTCGGTCGGACGATTGCGGCGACGCTCGACGACGTCGGGCGACTTACGACGACGATCCACGCCAACCACGTCGATTCCGATTTCGATTTCGATCCGGCGTCCGTCCAGCCGGTTTCCAACTCGATCCGACTCGGCCTTGCCAACCTTTGCCGATTTCGATTTGGCAGCCGATTTTTGCCGATTTCTGCCGATTCGATGCTCCGGTCGACCCGATCAGGCTTATCGGTTCGATGCTGGGGCCGCGCGCGTGTTCGGTCTTATTCTTTGGGGTGGCGGATTCGCGGCGGCCTTCGGGGACCGTTGCTTGTCTCGGCTGTTTTCGGTGGTCTTCGGTGCCCTGTGGGCATCTGGAGGCCTTCGCTGTCTTCGGGGATCCTTCGCGGTTCCCGGTGGCCTCTGGAGGCCCTCGAGGTCCCTCTGCGGGTCCTTGGCGCTCGTGTTCTGGGAAGGGCCGCGGGAGAAAAATACCCTCCTCGCCCTGAGGGGTGACACCCTCTCCCCGCGTTCTCCTGGTGCCGCAGTTGCGTACTGCGTCGACATGGAGCGGCCAGAAGTAAGGGAGGGGTCCCTGCCGGAGAGGTACCCTTAAATCGGGCCTGTTCCTCTACAGGGGGGATATTCAAAAATAGTCAAAAGTAGCCTGGGGACGATCTTTTGACAATTTTTGAGCATCTGGGGGCTATTTTTCGTTTTTTTTTTTCGCCCAAAATCCCCCTGTAGGGGGACAGGCCCGACTTAAAGGTTCCCGCGAGGAGCCTCTCCCTCGCGTTCGCTTGTCGGGCGAAGGTGCGGCTCCACTGCGCAGGCCAGGGCTCGGAGGCGAGCAGGAGCGGGCTGGGTAGCCGCAGGCCGCCCCCCTGCCCTCCCCCTCCCCTCCCCGCACGAGCGAGCCTGCCCGTTCCCTGGGTGGACGTCGCGGAGTCGATGCAATCGCCTCTTGGGCCTTGCAGCTCCTTTGCCAAAGGACCCGAGCCCGCAGGCCTAGCTAGAGTCCTCTTCCGGACGACAGCTATCCCCTACCTTGTCCTCCCTTCTCCGCCTCCTCCCGCGGAGGAGTGCATCGGCGAGGTCGCTGGAAAGGACGGCTGCAACCTCCAGGAGATCGGCTCGAAAACCGGGCGCCGCCCGTTCACAAAAGAGAGACATGTGACATGTGCCCATGTTGCGGGAGGAGGATGTAGTCCGGGAGCGAGGGAGACAAGGAGAGAGGGAGGAAGGGAGGCAGGCAGGAGGAGGGAGTAGGGAGGAAGGGAGGGGGGAGGGATGGAGGGAGGGAGGGAAGGGAAGGGAAGGGATGGGATGGGGGAACTTGTGTGTACCAGCGGATGCTGGTCCACCAGCGGGTGCGCAGGCATCATATGATCATTCATCGCTGATCTCGGACTCCAGGTCGCTCTCCGGACAGCTCTCGGCGACGGAAGCCAGGTCGTTTTCCAGCTCGGCCCGTGAGGCCGGAAGAGGCCAGAAAGGGCCCCAGTGGGGCTTCGGTTGGACCCCGAGGGCCGCTCTCAGGAGGTCATCGGCCGCCTCGGCAAGCCGCAATTCCCAAGAAGAGATTGTCACGGCCAGGCTGCGGCCGCCACGCTTGGTGCGGCCACCCCGGCCCACCATGCGAGGATGTAGGGGGTATAGGTTTTTTCCTTCCCCCCGTCATTTGAGCCAAATATCAACAGACACCTGCATGAAGAGCCATTCGCATGCAGGCGTAGGGTCGCACCGCATTTGAATGGCTCTCCGCTCTCAGGTTCATGCAGGCGTTGGGTCGCACCGCATTTCCCCGAGAGCGCACTGTCAGACAAAATGTTGCTGAACAGAGTGTCCTCATGAGCACTGGGCAATTTTCGCTGCCAGTGTGTTGCATCTGCTGCAAACGAATGCTATGCCAGCTGTGCGACACTGCTGCTGATATCTATACCCAGCAGTCTCGCCAGCCGGACTGGTGACCTGAACAGGCTCCTGCGGCCCTCAGGAAGGTCACCGACGCCCGCCTGGCCCGCCGAATGACATCACCGTCATGCTATGCCTTACGCACCGCACAGCAAATCATTCAAAATGGTCCCTTCGATACGGTTTGGTCGGGCACAGCTTTGCAGACACCTCTGTGGGGCCGCGGCTGCAGCGAATACCGTGCTGTCTGGCGCGGTGGTGTGGGGGGTGCCCTTGCACCTCCGAGCAGCCATACACGAGCATATAACACAAAGACATAACTAATTGCCTGATTTACAAAACTGCCCTCCTAAGCCAGAGCTCGGAGGCCGAAGTGCTGCCAGATCCTCGCCGCGTGCTGGACCCCGCCGCACTTCGTGAGTCCGTCCGCGCACTGCTCGGTGGTGCCGACGAAATGCAACTCGAGCAGCCCGTGTGCCATCCTGGAGAGGATGGCGTTGACCTTCGTGGACAATGCGCGGGTCCGCCATGAACGTCGCCCCTCTGCCACGTGGTTCGCCGCGTCACTGTCTCCGCGCAGTGTTGGCCTCACTCGGAGCCCCATGCTCTCGAGAGTGGCGGCTGCCGCAGCGCTCATGTTCTCGCCGACGGCCAGTGCGTTCACCTCCGCCTCCGCGGTGCTGAACGGGACGATTTGCTGGCGCATGCTGCGCCAATCGACCAAGCAACCGAGGAGGTACATGGAGACCCGTGTAGGCGCCGATGCCCACGAAGCTCGCGTCGGCGTACGAATCCAGAGGGAGCGGCTCGTCCATGCCGAACTCCGGCGTGCCCCACTTCTCCAGCAACTCTTCCGTGTAGGAATGCTGCGGGAGCGGCATGGTGGAGTCGATCTTGACCTCGATGTCAATGCAGAGGTAGCGCACGCCCCCTGGCGACCCAGGCACAACGTGGGGTTGGGGTGATGTCCTCCGGAGCTCTCCCAAAGCCGACCTCGTCAGCCGAAACGACCGACGAAGGTCCAGGATGAGGAAGTCGCCCACACACGTGAGGACGTACCCGAAGACGCTGCCCGCGGAGTCCACGATACTCCACACTGCCCCGTCCGCGGTGCTCTGCTGGAACCGGAACTGATGGCCCTGCGCCTCCTCCCTCCTCCCTCCTCCCTCCTCCCCCCTCCCTCCTCCCTCCTCCCTCCTCCCTCCTCCCTCCTCCCTCCTCCCTCCCTCCTCCCTCCTCCCTCCTCCCTCCTCCCTCCTCGTCCTCGACGAGAGCGCCCTTCCTGTCCGAGTTCTTCGCCTCGTGGCCCACGCCCCGGGCGACACGCGCAGGCCGTAGATGGCCCTCGTCGCCCTCCGGACCTCTCCGGGACGGACGAGGCCATACCGCACCATCAGGGCGGGTGGGCGCACCAGCACCATGTGCTCGATGGGGAGGTGGGCGCTGAAAAAGGCAGTCGAAACATCCATCGCGCTGATGTCCCTGCGCCTGGCGGATGCTACCGCCAAGGCGCTGCGGAGACTGCAAGCCTCGAGGTTCGAGGCGTGCACCGGCTCTCCCTCCCCGTGCTGCTCGAAGTTGCCGCAGTCCACGCCTCGGCACCTCTTCCTCCGGCAACCCGTCGGATAGAAGACTCGGCAGCCTTGACACCTGCCACCACCTTCATGGGCAAGATGTCCCTGGGCCTCGCCTGGCCGACCTCCGCCAGCGTCAGCCTGCTGAAAACTTCGTTCTCCGTCATCGAGTTCAACTCGTTCTCGAGGGCCTGCCTCCACGCCTCCTTTTCCGAGCCGAAGGTCTCGTTGAGCGCCTTCATCGAGACCAGCGACGTGCCAGAGTCGCGGACGATGTCCTGAAACTCGGGTGGCACGGTGCCCTCGTCGTCCTAATCGTCGTCGCCGTCCATAGAGCCCATGGGGGCGACCTGTGCGGTCACGTCGTCGCGGTAACGCAACACCTGCACTAGCAAGCCCGCGCTTCCAGTCGCCGATGCTTCTCCGCTCGTCCTCGACGTCCTCACGGCTGCTGGGGAAGCCGCCGCACCTGGCCCACGTTTACAGCGATGGTCCCTTGTGTCGGCGACGTGCCGTCCACGGCGAGCCAGGCACGACCATTTCGGCCCCGCGCCTGCGCCGGCATCGAAAGGAGGTCCCCGAGCAGGTCCACGAAGAAGAGGTCCAAGATGACAAGGGGCATCGCGTGTGTGTGTGTCCTGTGGGATCGCGTAGTGCACGCAGGGCACGTGATGTCCTTCACGTCGGCTTCGAAGATGTCGTCCTTCTCCTTCGGTATCCATTTTGGCTGAAGCCGCCATCTGTGGGTTGTCTGATGCCTCGAGTGACTCTCGTCCATGGCGGAACATCCCCCAAAGGTGGAGGCGCGCGCGCGGGCGAGCGAGAATCTTGCGGCTCTTGGCTTCGATGGCCTCCTGATGGAGCTCGACTCGCTGAGGGCCCGCCTGCTTGACCAGCACAGGCGGGAGCTCGACGACCAGTGGCGCGAGAGCGAGACGGTGAACGTCTTTGATAAGTTGTCCGTGCTGGAGTCCGAGCCCTCTCGCTCGGATGTGGTTGCCGAGTAGAGCTACCTCTCCGAGGGCCCGGAGCAGGTGCCGACGTCGGGCCTCATGTCGCTGGGCACGCTGGAGACGAGCGAGGCGGCGGCCTCGAGCTGTCCAAATTTCAGCGTCTTGGAGAGCTGGGCGAGCGTTGTGCCGATCTTCCACCTCGCCGACCCCCAGGAGGCCAGCCTGGAGCCGCGCAAGAGGCAGAGGCTTTCTCAATCGATGGGCTCCAGCGTCTCGTTCGGGGCCTTCGACTCGATCAACTCGAGCTCAAAGATCTTCGAGGAGCTCACATATTGTGATGTGGTCGTGTTCAGGTCGTCAGGTTTCGTGTCAGAGCGGCTGATGGTGCATCCCTCGCTGTGGTTGGGGACACTTTGGAGCTTTCTGAGTCTTCTTCTGATTGCATACGACACGATAACCGTGCCTCTGTACACTTTCTACAGCTTCAGCCGTGTCCCCGGTTTGATCGTATTCTTTGACTTGGTCGCTCGATTTTCTGGACTTTCGATATCCCGCTGTCGTTCGTGACTGGCTTCCACAAGGAGGGCTCTATCGAGATGAGGCCCAAGCTCGTCGCGTTAGCATATCTCCAGTCTTGGTTTTGCTTCGACGTCCTGATAGTCATGTCAGACTGGCTTGTGGTCTCACAGAAGGACAGCACCGCCCTCACGGCGATACCAGTCATGCGGGCACTGCGATTAGTGCGCGTGCTTCGTCTGCTTAGACTTGGCCGACTCTCTCACATGCTCAATGAGGTGTTGCAGTACGCCTCCGACGGGCTCACAATCGTCGTCAACATTTTTAAGTTGACTGCTGGGCTATGCGTCGGCATTCACATCATCGCGTGCATTTGGTACGGCGTGGGCCAAGCCAGCAGCTCTGGATTCTGGATGGGTTCCTGATGAAGCGCTCATGGAGTCTGCGGCGCTCTCCGAGCAGTACATCTTCTCCGTGCACTGGGTGATAACTCAACTGCACGGAACGAGCCTCACTCCCCCGCATACCTTCATCGAGATCTCCTTTTAGGCTCTGGTGCTCCTGGGCGCCCACGCCTTTGTTGCGTTTTTCATCGCCAACATGACGCAGGCCATGATATGCCTGACGGACACCCAGAACCTCCAGATGCAGCAGGCGGCCAGGCGCTACCTGCGCCGCTGGCGCATATCCCCCACGCTCTCGTACCAGCTGCGGTTGCACTTCGGGAAGCCCACCGGGAGGGCCCTGCAGGACGTCATGGACGTTGAGAACAGGATGGTCCAGGCCCTCCCGCAGGTGCTTCAGCAGCAGCTTTACGAGGAGGTACGTCGTCCTCTGCTGAAGCTCGTGCCGCTATTCAGGCGCGACGGCCTCTCGAAGGACCGGTTACTGAGAGCTCTGTTGCAAGGCCATGTCGGGGATCTCGTTGATCTCGGGGGAGTTGGTGTTCGGGCTCGGGGACTCTTGCAAGCGGATGCTCGTCGTAGAGTCCGGCACCAGCGCCTACGTGAAGCTCAACCGTTCTGCGGAATCTTATTCCGCAATGGGGAGGACACTGATGAACTACATAAGGGCCAGAGAACAGGAAGGGTCGGACATAAGGCAGGTAATGCGACATCGAGGCCAGCACATCATCGAGGCCGCGTTATGGACGCAGTGGACTAACCAGGGAGAATTTTTCGCAGAGGGCGACTGCACAATGCTGGTTATGGACAACGGCGACTTCGCCTCCATCGTGAGCGCATACGAGTTCACACGCGTTTTCGCTCTGAAGTATGCCAGCTGCTTCGTCTCTTGGCTGAACGACAGGGCCCGCGCATTTTTGCATTCAGACGTAATGGAGACTCCGAAGCATCTGATCCAGGAGTACTTGCAGAAGATGGCCGACGACAGCGCGTTCGTCTTCATCTCGCACTTCAAGGAAGAGGCGGGGTCGGACGCGGCGCTCATAGAGGAAGGGATGCGCCGGATCATCAAGGAGAATCCCACCCACCCCGCGTTCAACCTCAGAAGGCCGATCTTCCTCGATTCCAACGACCTGGAGGAGATGGCCCATATCCCTGGCATGATCAGGGGTAGCCACAACGTGGTGCTGCTTCTCACGGACAACGTGCTCACTAGACCTTGGGTGCTGATCGAGATCGTGACGGCCTTGCGAGCCAAACTGCCGATCCATCTGGTCTCGATCCAGCGCCCCGGTGTGGACTTCAAGTTCCACAGCGAGAACGCCATCAAGCGACTTGCGGCTGGCGTCGGCCTCAGTCCGAGCGCCCAGGCGCTCCTGAGGGCGGAGGGCATCACCGCCGACGACCTGACGCTCGTGGGCAACGCCTTCCACCGCAATAGCCCTGCCGTTCTCCCCGCACAAGTCCGCCACTGTCCGCGAGGCAGAGCTGCTGGACATTATGAATCGCTGCGAGATGTGCGGGACGAACGGCTCCAAGATACCATTCCGCCGCCACGCCAGCATGGGGCATCCCGACTTCTCTTCGACGGGATCACGGGCGATCTCCTCCGTGCCCCTATCGTCGTCGGGATCACGGCTCACGGGATCGATGAGGCTCGGCTCTTCGTCGATGTCGATCGCCGAAGCAGGCTTCGTCGGGCATGCTGTGAGTATGAGGGTCGAGTTGTGAGCTCTGCGGTGCCAACGAGCCTCTCAGCAATCGGAGCGGAGGGGGGGGGGAGGGCTGGGCCACTGTTGGTTCGGGAGGGATTGGGTGCTCCTTGCTCGAAGACCAGAAATACACATGCATATACCCTTTCAGAGGTACGCGCAGAATTCTTGGGTTTGCTCTCTTCCCCACGTCGCCGATGGGGGTCCAGCGCTCACCGAGGGAATCCGCGCGGACTTCCGAACGCGGATCGTTATTAATCTTGCCGGTCTTCTACTTGCGTTTTTCTTGTAGCGCCCCAGCAGGTCACCCCAGCTCCGGTGGTGCATGACGGAGGCGTATCTCCGTATTGCATTTGTTTTGTTTTGTTCCCCCCCCCCAACCTCCAAAGTGGGGTTCTTGTTTTCTCTGGACACCCCGCGCAAGAACAGGAACCCACCATCATCATCATCATCATCATCATCATCATCATCATCATCACTCATTCCTCACTCACTCACTCACTCATCATCCCTCACACACTCATTCACTCACTCACTCACTCACTCACTCACTCACTCACTCACTCACTCACTCACTCACTCACTCACTCACTCACTCACTCACTCACTGACTCATCGGCACTCACATATGATGATGATGAGTGTGCGCGTGAGAGAGTGTGATGATGATCATCATCATCATCACCAGTCAGTCAGTCAGTCAGTCAGTCAGTCACTCACTCACTCACTCACTTTCTCGCCTTGGGCCTCGTCTGTGAGTGAATTATGAGGAAGTCTCAGGCGGGAGCCCCCTCCCTATGGGGCCCGCCGATTATGTTATTAATCCGAGCGGGTCATCCAATTCCTGTAACTGTCGCCACTTTTGGGCTCTCGCGCTGCCAGAACGCCATTCACAGGCCACATGGGCCTCGTCTTTGAGTGAATTGCGACGAAGTCTCAAGCCGGAGCCCGCTCCCTATGGGGCCCGCGGATCATGTTACTAATCCGAGCGGGTCGTCCAATTCTTAGAACTGTCGCCACTTTTGGGCTCTCGCGCTGCCAGAACGCCATTCCCAGGCCACATTTTGAATGCCCGGAGCCAACTGTAGGCCACTTCGTGTTCTTCGTGCTCCCAGAACACCATTCCCGGGCCACATTTTGAATGCCCGGAGCCAATAGTAGGCCGCTTCGTGTTCTTCTTGTTCCCAGAACACCACTCCCAGGCCACATTCTGAATGTCCGGAGCCAACTGTAAGCCACTTTGTGTTCGTCGTGTTCCCAGGGCGTTATTCCCGGCACGTATCCCCGCGCCAGGGCGAGAAGAAATATACGCAGAAGAGACAGCCAGGACGCCTCACCAACCACGAGGACGACGGTGAGGGCTTTTTCCAGATTCGCCCAAAGGATTCTGTACCATGTGTACATGGGCGTCAGCACGGCCAGCGGGCCGCCAGGCTCAGAAATCATCACCATCATGCCAAGGAAGGGGGTGAGAGGGAAGCCGCTTGGCGTGATGTCTCTCGGAAATGTGTGGGGCGTGGTCAGGTTCTCAAGCTTATTAACCTGGGGCTGACCCGCACACTCGCGCGATATAATACTTACCGTTTCAGTGTGATGGGCCATTGTCGCTCAATTCTACTCGCCCACTGCAGAAGCTTACCGTCTCGAGAGAGAGGGCAGCTTTTCAGTCCTTGGCCATTGCTCCCCGTAGTGTTCTCTCTTGTTCTCTGTTGAAGTCTGCCAAGGAGTTAGGTCTCCCTGTTCAGGCGAGGTCGCTGGTGTGCATGGCGCAGGCTGCTCAGTACAGGTGCGCTTTCTATACGAAAGTCTTCTTTGCTATGGGCCATCTCCTCGACACGGTCGGGGCGTTTGACGAGGCGTTCGTCGTTCACGCTTGGGGAAAATGGTGGTGAAACAATTATCCTGGCGAAGGACCCAACCATATGAAGTTGTGGGTACCGCAATTGTGAATATCTTCTTCGGTGAAGCTCCCTATGGGGCCACGACGCGCTGCGCTCGGCGGGGGGGGGGGGGAACGCATGCGGGCGGTAGCATTGGGGCCGTCGGTGAAGCTCCCTATGAGGCCACGAGGCGCTGTACTTCGGTGGAGCTCCCCATGGGCCGCGAAGCGTTGTAAAGGGTGGGTGAACATGCCAAATTGGGTGTGGGGAGCGCATGCGGGCGGCCCCACTGGGGGCTTCGGTGGGGCTCCCTATGGGGCCACGAAGCTCTGTACTGGGCGGGTGAAAATGCCAAATTGGGTGTGGGGGGCGCATACGGGCGATCCCACTGGAGGCTTCGGTGGAGCTCCTTGTGGGGGACGTATGCGGGCGGTCCCACTAGGGGCTTCGGTGGAGCTCCCTATGGGGCCACGAAGCGCTGTACTGGGCGGGTGGCAATGCCAAATTGGGTGTGTGTGTGTGGGGGGGGGGGGGCGCATGCGGGTGGTCCCACTGGGGGCTTCGGTGAGGCTCCATATTGCGCCACGAAGCGCTGTACTGGGCGGGTGAAGATGCCAAGTTGGATATGGGGGACGCATGTGGGCGGTCCCACTGGGGGCTTCGGTGGAGCTCCCTGTGGGGTCACGAAGCGCTGTGCTGGGTGGGTGACAATGCCACATTGGGCGTGGGGGACGCATGCGGACGGTCCCACTGGGGGCTTCGGTGGGGGTCCCTATGGGGCCACGAAGCGCTGTACTGGGTGGGTGACCGTGCCACATTGGGCGTGGGGGGCGCATGCGGGCGGTCCCACTGGGGGCTTCGGTGGAGCTCCCTATGGGGCCACGAAGCGCTGTGCTGGGAGGGTGACCGTGCCAACTTGGGTATGGGGGACGCATGTGGGCGGTCCCACTGGGGGCTTCGGTGGAGCTCCCTGTGGGGTCACGAAGCGCTGTGCTGGGTGGGTGACAGTGCCAAATTGGGCGTGGGGGACGCATGCGGACGGTCCCATTGGGGGCTTCGGTGGGGTCCCTATGGGGTCACGAAGCGCTGTACTGGGTGGGTGACAGTGCCACATTGGGCGTGGGGGACGCATGCGGGCGTTCCCAGTGGGGGCTTCGGTGGAGCTCCTTATGGGGCCACGAAACGCTGTACTGGGTGGGTGACCGTGCCAAATCGGGTGTGGGGGGCGCATGCGGGCGGTCCCACTGGGGGCTTCGGTGGAGCTCCCTATGGGGCCACGAAGCGCTGTGCTGGGTGGGTGAAACGCATGGAAGGAGGAGGGAGGGGAGGAGGAGGAGGAGGAGGCGAGGAGGAGGAACGCGGGGCGACGTCTCTTCTAAACGAGGACCCAACACCACAGGATGGTCGTCCTTTTCCTCAGCTGCTCCTGGTGCTCCTGATTCTCTTCTTGACTTGGCTGCGTCCTCTGGCTCCTCATCCTGCTGGCCTCCTCCTAGTCGTGTTGCGCCCTCTCGCTCCTCGCCCTGTTTCTTCAGGCTCTTCCTCCTCCTTTCACTGGGCTGCTGGTGCTTGAAGGATCGGCGGAGGAACCGTCGCGAAGGAGCTGGAGGCCTCGATGATCCACCTCCGCTCGGGCGTCGTGGCCTCGGGATCCACCCGCCCCACGCGCCAGCCGCCGCCGTCGTCGATGCCCAGGCAGATGCTCTCCATCGCCCGTTCCTGAAACATACTGCGGGGCACGTCCTTTACCCTGAGCGTGAGACGGGCGCCGAAAGCAGGACAACCCGTCCTGCGCCCCTCAGCGGCCATTCGGCTGCACCACGCTGCATGGGTGACCGCCATCGGCCACAGCGACTGCCGATCGCCCATGGAGGGAAAGGCGAGGAGCGTCGCTCGAGAACGCTGCTAGATGAGGCCCACGCCTTTCTCAGCTCGTTTGTTCGCATTCGGCTCGTAGCCTGGAGTCGATGTCACAGCGATGTGGCGCTCGTCGAAATAGTGCTGGACCTTCTCGCTGGTCACCTCGCTCGCCCTGTCCCCGTGGATTCTGTAGACCACGTCGGCCCCCTCGAACTCCTTGCGGATGGACGCGATGACGGTGTTCAGCGCGGCGATGCCCTCCCCGTGCCTGCGTCTCTCGAGCGGCACCACGCAGTACCATGTACGACTCTTGGGCCTCGCCGCACTTCCATCCTCATCCTCGGCCTCAAGGCCGGAGCCCTCAACCAAGATCGGGGGAGCCGGATTGTCCCCCGAGGCCTCGCCAGGAATATCTGGGCCGACGGGCTGGCCCTCGCCAGGCGCTCCCTGCGCCTCAACACCCGCCGGCCGCGCGCTGACGCCGAATGCCTCGGCGGCGCGTGCCATCAGCCCCCTCAGTGCTGGATGCGCCGTCGGCGCGCTCTCCAAGAGGAGAGGGGGAACCTCCGGCACCGCAGCAACAGCATCAGCATCCTCGCCAGCGCTTGCCGCCTGCCCTTCTGGCGTCCGCTCCGCGCCGGCGCTGGCACCCTCCTCGCGCCTCCTCTTCAGCGCCAGCTCGTCGTCGGTGGTGACGCTGAAAGCGGCGAGGAGGAAGTGAATGGCCTTCTTTTCCCCTGGTCCTCTGGCCGCCTTGAGGGCCAGCGGCCAGGCAGATGTGGCCCTGACAGATCTACTGGACAGCTGCCCGCCAGGGCGGGTCGACGCGTCGTGGCGGAAGTGCGGCCTCATTCTGCTGGAGGCGCCGCGGCAGAGCCCGCAGCTCTCGTCGAACTTCACGTGTCCGTTCTCCGCGTGCTCCCTCAGCGCTGGATGCGGCGCTGCCTCTGCAGGCCGCGCCGTGGCCATCGCGCGCAAGCCCCGCGCGAGCGTCGCCATCTCGGCTCGGAAGCGGGCGCGCATCATCTTTCGCCGCTCCTGCCGCAAGATCTCGGCGTTCTCCTTGAAATGTAGAGGGCGCCGTCAATCCGCTCGAAGTGGACCTTCCTGCCGTCGGCCAGCTCCACGAAGCAGTCTGCCGGGTCTCATGTCATCTTGAGGCCGAGCGCCTCGATGTAGGACGAGAGAGGGAACGGGCGTTGAATGTCCTCGCCGGTCACGTACACGATGTCCTGCTGCATCTGCGCCTCCACTTTCCCCGTCGCTGTTCGAAGTTGGTCTCGGGCTCCTCGAACCGCAGCCAGATGAGGGACTCCGCGAAGCTCATGCGTCGCCCCGGTGTCCGCGAGCAGCAGCTTCGCAGACCGAGCGCCTGCCTTGGCGATCGAGATGGTCTTAGCCGAGGGCCCCGCCTCCCAGAACGCCAGCTCGTCCGAGACCTGGGCAAGCGAGCCCTCGGGCGCTGCACCCATCCCCATCGGGCCGGGGAGGTGGGCGGAGACCTCTGCCCTCGCTGCCTGCGCTGCGGCTGCCTCAGTCGAGCCTGCCGTGGGCGCGGGGGCGCTGGTGCTCGTCTCGTTCCTCTCTCCGGCTCTCTGGCCTCGTCCTCGCCCTCCTCCTGCTCCTGCCTCGGGGCCCTCTGCTGCAGCTGCGCGCGGAGGGGCGCGAGGGCGAGGGCACTCTTCGTTCCGGTGCTTCGTGGAGCCGCCATTGAAGCACTTGCCATCGCTCGCTGCGAGGCGTCGGTGCTTCTGGCGGCAGTTCGCCCCGTGGTTGCACCCGGAGTCGCGGTTGAAGTTCGGGCAAAAGCGCTCGCTGCCCTTGCCAGCGTCCTTCTCCTTGCGCTTATCCTTGTCCTTTACCTTTGTCGCGGTCCGTAGCCATTTTTTGGCTCAAGTCTCGGCCTTGTTGTATGAACATCGTGCCTCCCCTTCATTGGGCTGGCATCTCTCTTTCCCATGCAGATGGCGGCGGCCCCCCATACCATCATCTGCGAACTTCATGGGCGGCTGCCCCGGGAGCTCTCGGCGGCCGCGGGCCGCCACTCCGAAGGGCTCGAGCAAGCTGGCCATGCGCTGCGACGCGATGGCCAGCTGTCGGATGGTTCCGCTAAGAAGCTTGCCCGGCTCGGGCAGGCTTACAATCTCGTGCGGCACGTCACCAAGATTTCGGCGGACAATTTTTCGGACAAGATCTTGCAGGAGTTGGCCGGCGCTTGCGTGGCTACCAACGTCGATGTCCATGATGATCCTGCTATTCATGGTCCGCCTCCTCTTCCTGTTCCTTGTGGAAATCTCCCTGGGATGGCTCATAGTGTCGCTGCCTTCAACAAGCACGCTCCAGTTTTCTTCCCTGCTTTAAGCCAGTCGCAGGGCGATGGTGGCGTTCTTGCACCTGTAGCACGTGACCAGTGCGGGGTCCTCCTTGAAGCTCTTGGTCACGACGATGGCAAACAAGATCTTCCAAGTGCACCTCTGTCTGAAAACGATGGCCATTGTGTGGATCGTGCTGTCCTGGTCGCCCAACTCGGCGGCTCCAATGCTGAGCCGCATTGCAACGCTCCCGGCGTTCGTCAGCATCTCCTCGATCGTCCTAGCGATTCGCTTTGTGATGTCCAGCTGTGTCCGCCAGCCGTCGAATACAGCGACTGCCGCAGGGCGCGGCTCTTTTGCACTACTGGCAGTTGTTTGTGGCGCGCGTGCGTGCGCCGCGCCAGGTTTGCCACATTGTGTTGCTTGCTTCATCCTCTCCCCTCTTCGCCCTTCCGTCCTGCGAGCGTCCTCTGATGATCTCAGGCGGAGTCTTGAAAAAACAAACAAATCAAAGCAAAATACCTTTGTCGCCGTTCTTGTCCTCGTTCTTGCTCTTGTCCTTGTCCTTGCACTGCCCTTTGGTGTCCCTGCCGCCGTTCTTCAGGGTCAGGGCTGCCGCTCGAGCTGCCTCCTGCTGCTCGCTCCCGCCACCGCCGGTCGAGCCCGCGAACTCCCGTGCCCCTGCCGACAAGCACCTCCGCAACTCGTCGACCTGCGCCTGCGTGCAGACGCCGCCGCTCAAGCCCCGCACCACGAGGGACCGGTAGCAGCGGTGCTCGCAGCGACGGGTCTGGCGCCGCCGCGCCGAGCGTCGCGAGGCGGGTCGAGTGCAGCTTCCTCTCTCAGGAGCTCCTCGTAGACGTGCACAGTGTCGACGGCCTGGCCCTTCTGCCCGAGAGGCCCCCCAGGCCCCTCCAGATGGCTCCAAGAGGACAGCTGTGAGGGCCGCAAGAAGCACACATCGCCCCAAATCCTCGGGGACTCATCGATTTTTTTGTTCCCTCGTTTTTTGTTATTACTAGCGTCCACGACGGTCTCCGAGAACCCCAAGATCGCCGCAAGACGTCCCAAAAGGGCCTCCAAGACGGCCCAAGATGCCCCCAGGATCGCCCCAAGACGTCCCACAGAGCCCTTCAAGACGGCCTCCGGAGGCGCCTGTGGATCCCAGAGCGCTCTGAGACGGTCCAAGAGGTCCACAAGACACCCCACTCCGCACCCCTCCCCGCTCCTCCCAGATCGTTCCCAGTCCTCCCCATCCCTCCCCGCTCCAGGCAAGTGTGCGCGAGGCGGTTGCGTCTCTGGCCGTGAGATCCTGCCAGTGCATACCTACATGTACGACCACCTTGCGGGTGATAAGGAGGATGTGTGTGTGTGTGTGTGGTGAAGGGGGGGGGAGGAAGGGGGGACCAACTGGAGCTACAACATAGCATTGCGTCGGATAGCAGAGCAGCATAGCATCGCATAGCATCGCACAGCGTAGCATATAAGAATATGGCGTAGCATGGCATAGCATAGCATCGCATAACATGGCATCGCATCGCATTTAATAGCATACTATCGCATCGCACAGTATGGCGCAGTATAACATAGCATCGCATCGCATCGCATCGCATCGCATCGCATAGCATTGTATCGCATCGCATAGCATCGCATAGCTTAGCATCGCATTGATACCATAGCGTAGCATTGTACAGCATCGCATAGCATAGCATAGCACAGCATCGCATAGCACCAGACACGACGGGACACCGCTGGACACCCCCAGGCCACTGCAGGCCAACCGGGGGGGGCACCACGGGACACCCCTGGGCCACCGTTGGCCAACCGGGGGGCACAGCAAAATTTGGCTCGTTTCGCCGTAAGCACAGCTGTTTCATTTCTCTCGCCCGCCGATGCAGTTTCGCCCACACGCGCGCCACGAACACGAAACCGAAAACGATTTCCTGGAGGGGGGCCTCTTGTTCACTTCGATCTCTTTCCCAACCTCGGATTCTATCACTCCACGGGACACCGCGGGACACCCCTGGGCCACCGCTGGCCAACTGGGGGGCGCAGCAGCATTTGGCCTGGCTTTGCCTTAAGCACGGCGGGTTCATTCCTCTCGCCCGCCGACGCAGCTTCGCCCCGCCCACACGCACAACACGAACACGAAACCGAAAACGATTTCTTGACGGGGGGTCTCTTGCTCGCTTCGATCTCTTTCCCAACTTCGGATTTAATCTGCTCTCTGCGGGGACAATCGTTTGTTTCGCTCCGCCTGGCCCTTCTTTTGCCCCCCTCCTAGTGCCCGTAGACGGCCCAAGAGGACCCCCAAAACGGTCCTGGAGGTTCTGGAGTCTGCCCAAGAGGGCCCCAAGAGGGTCCCAAGAAACCCCAACGGGATTTCAAGAGAGGGTCAAGAGAGTCCGCTGGGCCGTCTTTGAACGGGCTCGGGGCGTCTTGCGGCCGTTTTGAGGCGGTCTCTGCTGGACGGGAGGGGCGGGGAGGTGCCAGAGGGTAGTTTTTCGCCCAAGTTGGCTCCAAGAGGGCCTCAGAGAGCCCAAGATAGCCTCCAAGATGGCTCAAGATAGCGCAAGATGCCTCAAGATGGCTCCGAAAATGGTCGAAGACGCTCCAAGACCGCCCCAAGATGGCTCCAAGTGTCCAAAAGAGCTCCCCAAGGATGCCCCCAAGAGGCCAATATGCTTCAAAACCCTTGGGAACATCGATGTTTTTAGCTTTCTCGCCTTCGCGCTTCCGATGCCCATCCGAGGCGACACCATAGCTCCAAGATGGCTCAAGAGAGCCCCAAGAGGGGCCCAAGAGAGCCCCAAGACGGCCCCAAGAGCGCCCAAGAGCGCTCCAAGAACGGCCCAAGAGCGCTCAAAGAGGCGATGTGGGGAGCTCCCGAGGGGGGACCGTAATTAAGGACCTCCCTTTGTTGATCGATCTCCTCCAAGGTGGCCCCAAGAGACGTCTTGGACCCTCCTCTTGGGCCCTGCGCGCGGGCGGGCGGGGCGCCGCCCGCCCGCCCGCAAGGCCCAAGAGCCCACCAAACGCCTCAAGAGACATCCACGACGCCACCAGGAGGAAGAACAAGAGGAGGAGGAGGAGGAAGAGGAGGAGGAGGAGGAGGAGGAGGAGGCGGAGGCGGAGGCGGAGGCGGAGGCGGAGGAGAAGGAGGAGGCGGAGGAGGAGGAGGAGGAGGAGGAGGAAGGAGGAGGAAGGAGGAGGAAGGAGGAGGAAGGAGGAGGAAGGAGGAGGAAGGAGGAGGAAGGAGGAGGAGGAGAAGGAAGAGGAGGAGGAGGAGGAAGAGCAGGAGGAGGAGGAGGAGGAATAATATTACTAATAATAACACTAAGACTAATAATAATAATCATCATAAGAATAATAGTACTAATACTACTAATAAGACGAAGAAGAATACTATTTTTTACTAATAGGACGAATAAGAAGTATACTAATATGAAGATGAAAAAGGATAATAAGATAAGACGAATATTACTACTACTAGTAAGAATAACAATACTATGTATGATAAGAAGAATACTACTAAGGAGTACTATTAATATGAACGTATATAAGAAGACTAAGATTAATACTAATACTATTAATAGTAATACGAAGAATAAGAAACATACGAATACTAAGAACACGATTATCAAGCACAATAAACATACTAATACTAGTAAGAATACGAATACTACTACTACTACTACTACTACTACTACTACTACTACTACTACTACTACTACTACGACCACTAAGAAGAAGCATAGTAATAATCATAGTACGAATAATAATGATAAAAATACTATTAACCAGATTATGCATACTACGAATAAGAAGAATAGTACTATGAATAAGAACCATAGGACGAATACTCAGACAACGAATGTGAATCATAATGCTAATCATAATAATCATAGCAATAATAATACTAAGAATAATAATATTATTAGTAATACTAATATTAATAATAATAGTTATAGTATTAATAATATTACTAATAATAATGATAATATTAATAATAATCATAATAATAATAATAAGGAGAAGAAGAAGAGGAGGAGAAGGAGGAGGAGGAGGAGAACAGCCGATGGTCGGCGCTCTTAGTTCGAGTACCCGGTGTTGGATGGGCTTGTGGGGATGCGCGAAGCGTCAACAATTTCATTGTTGGCGTTCGATTTGTTCAGCAAGGGAATTGTTCGGCGCCTCAGTATGTGTGCCGTTCGCGCCAAGGCGTGTCAGGCTGCGACGTCAGTCGCCATTTTGGCTCAAGTCTCACTTGGTTCCCATCTGGGGGCCAAAGGGGGCTTGAGCGCCGTTGCCTGTCTGGCTCAGTGGCGCCGCCCCCCGGCGCGCGCGCGCGCCGCCTGCGCCGGCGCGCCTGTGCATGCAGGGCGGCAGGCATGGCGGCGCGTGGCCGGCGGTCGGGCAGACGTGGATCTGCCTCCCTCCCCTGCCCTGCGGTTGGGCATGGGACATCCGCGCCACCCCCAGCGCGGGGGCAGGGCCTCCCCATCATTGGGGAGTGCCCTTGGCACCAGGCTGCTGGGAAGCCGGCGGCGGCAGCGCCGCGTGGGCCGGTCGGCCCGACGGCAGCGCCGAAGCGGAGGGCGCCGCCGACGGCTGCGCCGAGGGGGCCAGGCGGTCCGTCGGCGGCGCCGAGGCGCGCCTTGGAGCGACTGCAGGGCCCGCTGGCGGCGGCGCCGAGGGGACCAGGAGGCCCCACGGCCAGCAACGACGCCGGAGGCGGAGGCGGCGCCGCGCGCCCCAAA